AACACATTTTCTAAATATTCCTAGTAATCTTCAAGGTGATTTTTTATTCCATTAATATAATATCCCCCTCTAATAAAACATTATATGATCCAAACGCCCCTTAGAGTAAAATGTTTTTAATATGTTTTAATAAAATTTTGTAGACTTTTATTTTTTATTTTTGCCTAAGGCTTTTCTAGACAGAAATTAGCAATCCTAGATCCCTTGAAGTTAATTTTTTTTTTTTTTTTTTTTTGGATTATACTTTCGAAGTAGCTAAGTCTTGTGTGCAATTTTTCCCTCAAGTTCGGAGAATCGCAAGGTTATAGCTCGATCCAAAACCAACTCGACTCAACCAATTGTCCAACCTAGCATAAGCTTGTTGAGTTATAGCTCGACCGACCCTTGTAGTTGTTCAACCAACTCACAGATAGCTTCAGATCTCGGGTATCTCGGAAAAGATCAGATCGACAACAATCTTTGCGCAATCATAGTGCTCAATCACGAGAATATCAGAGTTGCATTTCAAACTTTATTGTAATCCCTTTATTTTCGCTCTTTCCTTTGTACAAAATCTGTATACGAACCCTCTCCAACGATGAGAAAGGTGTTAGCAAATCATTCTAGGACTGTCATTGTAAGCTCTCATAGGAAATACTAAAACAATGGATGTAGGCTTAAGAGTTTAACTCACCGAACCACTTTAAAAAGCTTCTTGCCATTTATTTTACCGCATTTATTATTTATTCATTGTTGGTTACCCGTAATCACGCACACATCAGTTCTGATCCCATCAAGGTCGATCGAATCACTTTAGTTGGTGTATTTTTGCATCAACATTTTGGTGCTAAAAAAAGGGCCTCTGCCAAAATCCTAGAATTTTTGGCAAGCGATCCTAGTGACCCGATCACTCCAGGCCCACAGTGGTGTGTACAAGATCGAAAACCACAACTGAGAACCACGACAACATGGAAACCACCCACCAGGAGGTGTAACAAGACGTCGCTAGGTGCCAACCACTAATGCTACCAACTCAACAAGCCACGAATAACCAAGAAGCAAGGACGTCAAATCCTTTGAATGGTCAACTGGTGGGAATGATCAAAACAATGGTTGCATAGGTGGTGCAACAGAACGTGGCTAAGTTGAGAAATCAACAACCAACCGCACAGGACCTTGACTAGCCACACTTCACAGATATCACCCTGACAAGTCAGAATTCAACCGGTGACCAGTCTAGTTCATTGGCACCAAGGGGCGATTGATACCCCCAACATCACAAAGTACACTCCGCTCATGACCATGAGTCCAGCAGGCAAACTAACCCCGGGAGCTGACCAAGAAAACAGCCAATAGGGGAAAATTAAGCTAATGGTCACCCACGAGATGCTCCACCTACCTGAAGGTATCCCCAGCGTTAGTTTGCTGGTTTTAACTTATGCCCAAGGCAGGCTCAAACCTCGCAAGCTTGTAAGACAATTCATGTGCACCAATCTGGAAATGACAACATTCTGGTTATAACGAACGTCATGAGCAACGCACTGACGAGCATGATAGCACCTACTAGCCATGCCATCATGACTCAACCTCGTGCATCAATACGTATAATGGAGGAGGCTCGCAAACAATGGATTTGTGAACTCACTTGCTCGAGCTAAGCCTGAACAAAGCTAGCCAGGGCAATCCTCATAGCGAAAACTTAGATCGGGTATAGAAAATGTTCGACAATCTAAGAGCCCGCTAGAACAATGCGGCAGAAGAGATAGTGAGCTCTCCCTTTGTAGATGAAGTTCACCAGGCCCCGCTTCCTTAGGGATTTAGGGTGCTAGAAAGTAAATTCAATGGGAAAGAAGATCCCAGATATCACCTCGACACTTTCAACAACCTGATGGAGTTGCATCAGGTTTGTGACTTGGCAAAGTGTCAGTGCTACGCGGTCATGCTAGTAAAAGATGCTAAGAGGTGGTATAAAAGACTCAAGGCGAACAACATTAGTTCTTGGCAATAATTCTCCTCACTATACCTATAACAATTCCAAGAGAGGAGACAGTTCGCAATGCCGCTTAGCTACTTGAACAACATTTGTCAAGAGAGAGATGAAACACCTCGTATTTAACGAGGTTCCAAAACGAGCAAGCAAAGGTTGTCGATGCACCTGAAGAGTCAATCTGAACTTTGCTAATTGTAGGCATCAAACCGTAAACAAAGTTATGGAAAAGCTCCAAAGTGAAAACCATGTGAGCCTAGCAAAGTTCTACCAAATGGCTGCCAAGCATCAAAGAGTAGAAAGCTCACTAGCCACCCTAGGCAGAAGCTTGCCAAGAAGAGCCCCAATCAGGCGACAAGATCACCCAGCAGACAAGTGAAGGGGCCAAGACCGTAATGACAAGGACCTGAATAGGTCCCAAAAGAGACAGAAAACCACGGGGATAGGCAGCCTTTCCCGTGATATGCAGAATACACCCTCCTCACATAAGACATAGCCCATATATATGAAGTCTCCTATGAGGCTAAGAAACTGCCCACTCCAAAAAGAATGAGGGGGGCTCCGGGCAAAAGAGATTGGCAAAAATATTACCAATACCACCGGGACATCGAGCACAACACTAGCGAGTGTCGGGCTTTAAAGGATGCCATCGAAGATCTAGTAAGGAGGGGCCACCTAAAAGAATTTGTTAAGGAGGCACTAGCTCGTGAAAATACTGGCAAGTATAATAACCAGATCCAACAAGCCTCGGCCAATGCCAACAATGAAGTCCAGGTGGGCATGATCTATGAGGGTCTCGACATTGTAGGGAGCTCAAGGTGCTCTTGCAAGCAATATACTTAAAAAGCCAGAACATACTTGATCCCTTGAGTAATGAGCTATGAACAAAAGCCACCCAAGCTGCCCAGACAAGAGAACAAGGTGATAAGATTCACAATGGAAGAATGTGAAGAATCTTCTCACCATAACCATGATGCGATTGTAATCGTAGCCAGGATCAGCAATGACAGAGTACTAAGGGTGATGGCTGATAATGGCAGTGCAGCGAACATCATCTTCTTAGGAGCTTTCCAAGAAATGAGGTTCACACAGAGAAACTTGAGGGCATGCCCATCGCCACTCTATGGATTCACCGGGGACAGCCTAATCTTCAAGGGAACAATCGACCTACCCGTGACCTTGGGGGAAGAACCAAAGATCGGGACGATGATGGCATAATTCTTAGTGGTGGATCGCCCAACCACATACAATGTCATCCTCGGAAGACCGATCCTGGATTATCTGAGTGCAGTCACTTATGTGCCAAGCAATGAGGTTCCCGACCCTAGGTGGGTCGCAACGATCAAAAGCTGCAAAAAAAGATCTCAGGAATGTTACAACTAGGCCATTAATGCTGCAATAAAATGGCTGCTCCCGAGAACCATGGTATTGTAGAGTCTGAGCCACGCCCCGGACCTCTCGAAGATACCATAGATCCTTGCATCCATAGGGAAAAGCCCGCGATATGGCCAATAGAAGAGCTGTGAGAAATATCTATGAACGAGAGAGACCCAAGTCACGTACTAAATGTCAGTAGCAGTCTGAGCAAAGAAATGGCCAACAGTTTGGTGGGGTTTCTGAAGCAAAACCTTGATGTGTTCACATAGGTACATGCTGATATGGTGGGGATCAACCCCGAGGTAATGTGCCATAGATTGAATATCGACCCAACAACTCGACCAATCAGACAGAAGAGAAGATCTATGGATGCAGAGTGCTCTAAAGTGCTCAAAGATGAAGTTGACAAGCTCTTGAACATTAACTTCATCAGGGAAGTGAAATACCCAAACTGACTCGCCAACCCCATCCTGGTGAAAAACCTGAATGGCAAATGGCGAACTTGCATCGACTTCATAGATTTGAATAAAGCCTGTCCCAAAGACAGCTTTTTGTTCCCTCAGATTGACTAATTAATAGATGCGACAACCGAGAATACACTACTCAACTTCATGAATGCATACTCGGGATATAACCAAATCTCGATGTATCAACCTGATGAAGAACACACCTCATTTATTATTGACCAGAGTATTTACTGTTTTAGGGTTATGTCGTTCGGTCTGAAAAAAACTGGAGCGACCTACCAGCGTCTAGTGAACAAGATGTTCGCCAAGTAAATCAGCAAGACAATGGAGGTATACATCGACGACATGCTCATCAAATCAAAGGTCGCCAAAAGCCACATTGAGCACTTGGGGGAAATTTTTGACATCCTTAGAAAATACAAAATGAAACTCAATCCTTTAAAATGAAAGTTTATGGGTTTCATAGTCAATCAGTGAGGTGTCGAAGCCAACCCAAAGAAGATTCAAGCTCTCCTGGACATGAAAAGCCCAACCAGCATCAGGTAGGTACAAAGCTTGACATGGCGTGTGGCCACACTTAGCAGGTTTGTTTCCCGAGCCACAAAAAAGTGCTTACCATTCTTTGAGACCCTGAAGGGGAAGAAGGGTTTCAAGTGGATAGAGGAGTGTGAGAAAGCCTTCCAAGAGTTGAAGAAACATCTGGGACAACCTCCTTTGTTATTAAAGTCCATTCAGGGTGAGCCACTACTGTTATATTTATCGGTATCTAAGTCCGCAATCAGCACAACTCTGGTATGTGAGGAAGGCGAAGTGCAGTGGCTGGTATATTACGTGAGCAAAAGATTGCTCAACACAGAGACAAGGTACCTCGAGGTGGAGAAGCTTGCCTACACACTAGTTATCGCTACTTGGAAGCTGTAGCCCTATTTCTAGGCGTACTTCATTCACGTGCTGACAAACTTTTCGTTGAGGAAGATAATGCAGAAGCCCAAAGGATCAGGCATATTGATCCAGTGGATGATAGAAATGAGTCAGCATGATATCAAGTACATCCTGAGAACAGCTATAAAAGGTTAGGCTTTAGTGGACTTCATTTCAGAATTCTCCTATCAGCCAGAAGGAGAAGTAAAACTACCAGGGGAAATCACCTCAAAGGAAAACGAACAACAGAAGCCAAAACTTAACAATCTATGGCAGTGGACTCTATATATGGACGATCCTCAAATGAAAAGGAGGCAGGAGCTGGGGTCTTACTCGAAAGTCCCGAAGGAAACCCGATCAAGGCCAAAGTTAGATTTAGGTTTGCCGCGTCCAACAACGAGGCTAAGTATGAGGCGTTGCTTATAGGGATCTACCTCGCCAAGGAAATGGGGGCAGAGTCCATCAAGATATATAGCGACTCCCAACTCATAGTCCATCAAATTACTGGGGAATATCAAGCAAAGGAGGACAGAATGGAATCCTATATCCAGCATGTAAAATCCAAGCTTGAGCAGTTCAAATCTTGCACAATTCTTCAAATCCCAAGGGAGAAGAATTCAATGGCTGATGCTCTAGCTTGCCTAGCTTCTACATTGAGCCAAGAGAAGATTGATTCAATACCTATTAAGTTCCTCCCAAGTCCAAGCATCCTCGCTCCATAAGAATCAGTCTTAGTAATAGGGCAAAATATAGCTGGATGGATGCAATAATTGTCTACCTAAGAGACGAAACAGTGCCTGAAGGAAGAAATGAAGTAAAACACTCCAAGCAAAATCAGCTTGATACACGCTCATCAATGAAAAACTGTATAAGCGTGGGTACAATTCACTGCTCCTGCAGTGTGTTGACCATGAAGACGCATACTATGTTCTGAGAGAGATCCATGAAGGCATCTGTGGGAACCATGCAGGGGGTAGATCTCTAGCATGCAAAGTACTTCGTCATGGCTATTACTGGCCAACAGTTTTTGATGATGCAGCAGACTATGTGAACAAATGCGACAAATGCCAGAAATTCATAGATGTTCCGTGAGCTCCACCCTAAGAGTTAACTACTTTGACAAGCCCTTGGCCATTTGCAATTTGGGGTATCGACCTGATAAGCCCTCTGCATCAAGGAAAATAGGGTGTTAAGTTCGTAATGGTTGCTATGGACTACTTCACCAAGTGGGTAGAAGTTGGGCCTCTAGCTACCATCAAATCGAACAAGCTAAAAGATTTCATCTGAAAAATATCATTTGTAGATTTGGAATCCCCAAACGATAATAACCAACAATGGAAAACAGTTCAACAGTGAGGACTTCAGATTTTCTACGAACGACTTTGTATTAAGAAGAGTTTCGTCACTGCTTATCGACCTCAAGCCAACGGTCAAGTAGAGGCTGTGAATAAAGTGTCAAGCATACCATAAAGAAGAAGCTCAATGCCCTAAAAGGAAGATGGGTTGAGGAATTGCCTGAGGCCCTATGGTCTTATAGAACGATAGCCAGAAGCTTGACAAGTGAAACCCCGTTTCCTTTATCATACGAGTGTGAAGCAATAGCCCCAGTTGAAGTGAGGAATAGTTCGTTTCGGAATGAAGTCTTCAACAAAGAAACAAATGAAGATCTTCTTTGCTTGAGACTAGACCTAATCGAAGAACATCGAGCCAAGTCTCATCAAAGGCTCGCCTCATACCAGTAGCGAGCCAGACGATACTTCAACTTCAAAGTTAAGAACAAGGACTTTGAAGTGGGTGACCTAGTCCTCAGAAAGGTTGTCCAAGGGACACAAAACCTGAACTTGGGGGCACTCAAGCCCAAATGGGAAGGTCCATTCAGGATCTTCGAAAAGCTCACACCAGGAACCTTCCACCTAGAACGCCTCAATGGCGAAGCCATACTACGAGTCTGAAACTCCGAGCATCTGCGAAGGTATTAATTATAAGCAACTCAGGTTCCAATCATATCTTATTTTCTTGCAACTATTTATTGTAAGGTCGTTTATGGCTAAAAAATTCTATCAATAAAAAGAGGTATTATTCATGAACTTTCCTTTGTTAGTCATTTTTTGTTTATTTATTGTTTACCATTTATTATCTATTGCTTCAAAAATTGCGACCTACATGATCTCATCCAAAAACTCAAAGTCAAAGTTCAAAAAAGGCAACTTAGCTCAATAAGCCATGCCAAAATCCAACTCAGTAAGGGTGAAATTCCCCAGATCGACAAAGTTACACTTGGAAAAATTCAAGTAAAACACGTCGAAGGAAATCGGTCATAAGTCGGTGACCAAAACTCGAGATGGACAATGAGTCTGAAGTCAGAGTTGTCACATAAGATTTCCACATGTATAACCAAAAAGTTCCTCAAGAAGCGAGCTACGCATAACTTGGACCAAATTCAATTTTTTTGCGATAATTCCAATTAAGATGATCAAAATGACTTTGCAGAAATAAAAAATTGCTCGACAGATATATGCAAAAAAATATCTTTCATTGATATCAAATCGTGCAATAGTCTTCGAAGCTTGAAACGAGCACTGAACAGTAGGGGGCAGATGTTGTGTGTGATTTTTCCCTTAAGCTCGGAGAATTGCGAGGTTATAGCTTGATCCAGAACCAGCTCGACTCAATCGATTGTCCAACCAACATAAGCTTGTCAAGTTATAGCTCGACCTAGCACAAGCTAGTTGCAACCAATCCTTGTAGTTGTTCAGCAAACTCACAGATAACTTCAGATCTCGGGTATCTTAAAAAAGATCAGATCAATAGCAATCTTTGCACAATCACAACACTCAATCGCGAAAATATCAGAGTTGTATTTCAAACTTTATTATAATCCCTTTATTTTCGCTCTTTCCTTTTACAAAATCTATATATGAACCCCTTCCAACGATGAGAAAGGGGTTAGCAAATCATTCTAGAATGTGATTGTAAGCTCTCACAGGAAATACTAAAACAGTGGACATAGGCTTCAGAGTTTAACTCACCAAACCACTTTAAAAAGCTTCTTGCCATATACTTTACCGCATTTATTATTTACTCATTGCAGGCTACCCGTAGTCACGCACACATCAGTTCCAATCCCGTCAGGGTCGATCGGATCACTCTAGTTGGTGTATTTTTGTATCAACACTAAGTTGTACCACTTATTATGTTTCCATGTATTTTTCTAAGACTTTTCATGATACGAAACAGCATCGTCAAATCCCTAAGGCTTATAGGACGTACTATTGCATCGCCTATTACCTTGAAGTTAAATTTTTAGTTGAGAGCGTAAGTAACTCTTAATACCATTGATAAAATGAATTTAGTGACCATGTTTGCCACTAAATACAAATTTTTCAATGACTTGATTTGCATCATTAATGATACCTTTTGGTGATGAAATTAGGATGCGTCCTAATAGTTTATCTTCATCTTGCAATGGACTTTTGAATAAAGTTCCTCATATGAATGTACCTGATGTTGGATTGAGATATTATCCATTTCATCGATTACCCCTTTGGCAGATCAACCATTGATTTCGATTAGAGAGTCAGTACATTAAGGGGAGGTAACGGGTGGCGTGTTATGGACGTGTACAAAGATAAATTAGTATTGAAAGATGTTTCAGCCATCCATGCATTATACAAATTAAAAAAAAAAAAAAAAAAAATCTTCTACTATGACAATTCATCTAGTAAATAAATTTGTTTTCGAGGTACATGATAGATATAAGAATGATCTTGTTAATCCACAAGAGTCGGATTGTACGTACAAAAATTCTAGTTATCTCATTTACTATGCACACATGTTGTAATGGCAAAATACCTTCAACTTTCTAATTACTATCAAAGGTTTCATCCAAGGACGTAGCTAGGATTTTTAGAGAGTTAGTTCAAAATGTTTAAGTTGATAAATTTACAATAAAATTTTTTGGGGTAAATATGAATTGAATAATACTATACTTACAACTGAGTCATACAATCAGACATACAACGAGGCTATTTTACAAAATTCATGTAAAAAGACTACAATGTCCTATGTTTTTGCCTGGTTGTATGACTCAATTGTAAGCATAATATTACTCATATGAATTTAAGTAGGGTCAAAATTGTAGGTTGTGTTTGGTAGAGTATTTAGAATAGTATTTTTAAAAAAGTTGAATTGGGTTGTTATTATGAGAATAGGATTTGAATTTGAAAATGTGTTTGTTAAATTTTTAGAAAACATTTTCTGAAAATATTTAAATGATTTTTTAATCCTCTAAATTTGTTAATTTAGCTAAACACCCCCTACAATAAAAATTTTAAAATTAACAAAAACACACCCACCCACCCATTAAATGCCTACAGCCAGCCACTACCACTGGATGGTGGCCAGAAGTCACTGGAATGGCGCACGACCAGCTGGATCTAGTCGGTAGTGTGCCAATCTAGTCGGTAGTGGCCTTTTCCAACTAGATCTACAGCCAAAGATCTGGCCGTTGATGATGGTCATATCTTGGCCGTCGTTTGGCCGTCAACAATGGCTAAGATATGACGGCCAAACGACGGCCAAGATATGACCATCATCAACGGCCAGATCTTTGGCAACTAGATCTAGTCGTCAACGGCCAGATCTTTGGCCGTAAATCTGGCCTTTTCCAGCCAAATCCATGGTGGATCTAGCCGAAAAAAGCCAAATCAGCGCACAACCGGCCACATCCAGTCGGTTATGCACCATTCTGGTAGATTCTGGCCACCTTCCGGTGGTGGTAGCCGATTGCCAGGAATATGTGGGTGGGTGGGTGGGGGTGTTTTTGTTCATTTATAATCTTTTATTGTTGGGAGTGTTTAGTGAAATTAACAAACCTAGGAGGTTAAAAAAATCTAAATATTTTGGGAATATTGAAACAAATATGTATTTTGAATAGGATTGGATAGGATAGGATTTTGAATAGAGAAACAAACGTAGACATAAATATTATAAAATATAGTCTTTTTTTTTTTCAAAGTTTGAGCGGGTTCAATATTGTAAATTCTTTAAAATATAAAGACTTTATTTTATTTTATTTTTCTTTAAAGTTGAGGGGGTTCAATTGAATCCACATGTTTGTATGTGCCTAAGTGCCTGGTTTCATCCATTATACAATGTATAGACTCTTCATACAATTTATAATGAATCCATTTACGAACTGGGTTATCATTTAAATTTGATAGGTCTTGAAGATTCAAAATCGTGTTACGTTATTATCGCACACTAAGACAAGTCGATCGATCAACATGTGCACAATTGCCATCTAGAGGTGAAAAGGTATAATAGAGGAAATATAATTAATGTGGGAGAGTTGACCACACTAGATTGGATTGCAGAAGGCCAATGCCCTTATGGCCTAGCGTTGTATGGTAAACCATGAAAGAATGATTCCCAATTTGGCTAGGAGATATCACGTGATAGAGATTTCACAAATCAAGGGGTGAAGATTAAGTCAATTTCCTGTTTTGTTGATTTTTTATTTATTTCCCATTCAAACTTGTAATGGGTATAATATATAAACCCAAACCCTAGTTTGTTTAAGGGACATGACGCAAGAGTCACTACACCTTACACACACACACACACAAACACACACAAATCCGTTCACACACAAACTGAGAAAAGAGACAACTTGAGGGACACCTTGAGATAACTTTTGTAACTCAACTCACCGTTCTCATAGACTCTCAATTACAAAACAGTGGACGTAGGACTTGCATCATAAGCATCAAAAACCTCTTTGTTCTATGTGATGGTGTTCGATTATTATTTTTCTTTCAGTTTAGTATTGAATCCACGAATCTTAAGCAGATTCATGTGCAAATTCTTCAAGAATCCTACATACTTCTAGTTGGTGAGATTTCTTGCATCAAAAGTTTTGAACTAGAAGAAGGGCCCCCATAAAGTTCTTTTAGTTTTCCCGACAAACTAAACATCATTACGTGACATGGTTCATACAACCAGATCCAAAAGCAGGGTTGAAGCCAACTGCACTAGCAACATCAGCGTCAACAAGAAGATCCAAAACTCCCCTCCAAACAAATTCGATAGCTCCGCCAAATCCAACCATGGCAAGGACTTTAGTTGTTCCGTCGATAGAACCACAAGTGATGGATACCCTTGAGAAACTGACAACAGCATTCCAGGCTCTACAACAACAGATGGCCATGCTACAAGAGATGATACCGGGGCACCAAGCCCCTAGTCAATAAAACACCACCTAGGAAGCAAGTGATAGCTTGCCCTGGTCCCCGCACAAAGCCACACCAACTGAAAGCTTCTGCTCAATCGACGGATGCCATTACAGGCGAAAGAGATGATGAAACTCTTTAGGGCGCCATGGCCAAGTGCCTAATAAAGGCCAATAGTAGAGAGACGCCCATAGCCAGCACGATGGCCACATCTCACACCAGGAAAGGGTTAACTTTTAGAGAGAGGCCCATAACCGACACAAAGGACGCGCCTCGTGCCAGGAAAGGGTAAACTCTCAATCCTCACCAGACCCTACATACCACCCAAGTCACCATGACACAACAACCTCACGTGACAATAGTCACATGAGCATAACTAGTAGAATCGAGAGAAGGGAGCAACAAGCACCATCAAAAGGTAATCAAAAATCTGCTTCAGAAGCCGAAATCACAACAATTGATCAGCTGGATCACCTACAGCAAGTCCTTGACAACCTACAAGCTTGTCAAGATGAACATTATGAACGTAGGGAGAATCCCCTTTTTAGGAAGTAGTGCTTTGAGCACCCTCCCGGTAAAATTCAAGATACCGAGTATGCTAGCCTTCGATGGGAAAGGTGATCCACAAGATCACTTGGATGTTTTTAACGATTTGATGAAGTTACATCAGGTTTCAAGTCTCGCAAAGTGTTGATGCTTGGCCATGACGTTAAGTGACGAAGCAAAAAGATGGTTTAGAGGACTCCCCTCAGGTTCAATAGAATCTTGGAAGCAACTAATCACGCTATTCCTTCAAAACTTCTAAACAAACAGGCAATTCTCATTGGCTCTGAACTATCTTACCAATATTCGACATGAGAAGGGCGAAACATTGAAATCTTTACCTAGAAAGGTTCAACGGAGAACGGCGCAAGGTTGGGATTGACGATTAGTTGGTTCTTACAGAGTGAAAGGGTTGTTGATACCAACACATCAAAAGATTACCGGCTAAGACGTTGTCACCTTGGTTTGCAAAGTTTGTCATGGTGAGCAAGGGCATCTTTGTTCTCGAGTTTCCTTCTTCTTGCAGAATGGGTGGTCACCATGTTGTTGATATAATTTTTGTTTGATTCCCCACAAACGGCGCAAACTTCTGATCTCAAATTTCGCACCAAATTGGAAGTTATGATCTTGCCCTTGGACCATATTGACCTTCCACATTTTGCCCTTAGATTGGTGTTTCTGGAGTCGTCCTTGACTACAGCGCTAGTCCCTACGTACCGTTGTAGAAAACAGCAAAGCGCTGGTCGCTACCTCTGCAGAAAATAGCAGAGTTCCTACGGGATTGCAGGTTAGGAAAGGAATGAGAGGCTAATTTGGTTGCGGTTATGTTTCAATTGGAATTTTCTCATATGAGGCATTTATGTGTGAACTGTTATGATCATTCCATGCCATTAGCCTCCCTTTATATAGTGAAGTAGATAGAGTTTAAGGAAAAGACCTTCCTTACCATAGTAGAACTTTGAATAGGAAAGAGACAGTGAGAGTTTTAGGAAAATGTGAGATTTCTTTTTCTTTTTGCATCATTTTTTGTCTACGTTCACTTCTTAATTTGAACGAACTTTCTTATTCCTTTAAATTCCTCATTTAATAAGAATTATACTTCCTATTTTAAGGAATATCCCTTGAATTGTTTACTTAAAATGCAAGTAATATCCTCTAAAGTAATTTCGGGCACTACAAGGATCAACATCCAATTTAACAGCTAAAGTGGACTCCAACTAAGTGGACCATAATTTTTTGAGTTTTTAGGGTCTAGGTGTCAATTTTTGAAGTTTCAGAAGGTGTAGGTCGCATTAACCCCCCCTTTTTTTTTTAAATCCACGATAATAAAGTATGAGATAAGCCATTAAAATTTTAATAGAAAATAATTATTTTGAAAATACACGAGATTTATTTATGTATTTTGAATGTTTTAATAATTTTATGGGTTTTTTCTAAAGTGGGCTCAAATTAGATAAAATGTGCGCAAATAGCATCACTCAATAATTAACCTAAAATCCTCTTACATGTAAGGGCAATTGAAGTTATTATTATAGAGGACTGCAGGAGTTAGAGCAGTGCATACGTCGGTCGCAAACCCAAAAAGAGAAATGGGTCAAAAGATTAGAAAGATAAGAAGAAGATGCCTCCAAGAGAGAGAGAGACAAACAGACATTACTTGCAATTAATAAAATCTTTAACCATTTACATACCTTAGATTAGATTGAAAGGGTAAAGAAGATGCTCCCACTCCCTCTAAAGCTGCTTCGCTCTTTGGTTTTAGGAGAAACCATTCACCATAATCCTCTCCTTCATTCTCACTCTCATAATCATGATGTTAATCTTCACAACAAACAACCCAGTTCATCAAAAACTCCATTGCTTCTTTTTCTTCCCACCAAAGAGCTCGTCACTGATACTTACAGGCTTGCCACCATTGCCAGAGACATGGGCATGGACTTATACCCTTCCCCTTCACTTTCTCACATAATTTTCTCATACCCTTCTTCTCAATCCTCTTCTTCTTCATCTCCATCACATTCTCATTCTCATTCTCATTCTTCTTGGTCTTCAATCTCCTTATCATCTTCATTGATTCTTCCAAATGACGCTGTTCCTCTTCCCTTTCCCTCACTCGCTTCCTCCTCCCTATCCCATCTCCGTTCCTTTGTGTCCCTCTCTCAAGGCCTTTTCAAGTTAGTATTTTTGACCGGCAATTCGGACTCCACCCATCATAAAGTTGAAAACTTTAGTAGCCACTGGGACTGCTGTTCTTTTTCTCTGTTTTCCCGGTTAAATGGTGATCGGATTGATACAATGGAGGCCTTTTCTCGGGTCCTGGCTGGAATGGGTTGGACCCTTTTCAAGACGAAGAACAACTCTAACTCGTCTTCAAATTCTAATGGTAACGGTAATGGGAATGGGAATTCGGTTTACTTGTTTAGGAAAGTGGATTCGGGTCGCGTCAGGGCTCTCAGAGTTAATGGGAGATGTCGAATTAGAGAGCTGAGATTGCCTGCGTTGGATTTCAGGAATGCCCCTTTAAGAATTTTGCAGTATCTTGTTCTAATGACTGATGATGTCTTCTATCTCGCGTAAATGGGTATCTTTTTTTCTTTTTCTTTTCTTATCTACTATTATGTGTTTCTTTGTTTTTGTTGTTTTTGTGTTTTGTTGTTGGTTAAATCTTTGATGCAGTTTATGTGATTGTATTGAGGTTCAATTATTTTGTATTTAGTTGCATTGCTTTATCAGTTTATTGGTAGTCTTTGTTTGTAATAGTTGTTTAGAGGAGTGACTGACATATACCCCAGTTAGGCACCACTTAATGGCGGCGTCAAATATGATGTTTGGCTATCATATATGTAGGTACTTGGTTCCTGTATTGGTGTTGCTGAATTTTCTTTGGAGAATCATTTGGTTTTGTTTTGGTAATAGTTCCACTTTTATCTTCATTACTTATTGGTGCTGAAATTTGTCTTTTGAATCCTGACCGGTTTTGTTAACATATGAAGGTATGGATTTAGATATTAAAATTTGTATGATCCATATGTTGGATAACTGGATATAACTGGTCGGGATTTTTCTGAAGTGGATTCCTGGCAGATGTGACTAGGAGGTTACAATGTACTCGATCTGAAGGCATTGGTCCCCAAACATTTTTCAGTTTTGAAATTTTGACTCACTGAGATGAACTCATATTTAAAAGATCTTACATATCTTACATTCAAATAGAATATATTCAGGAGGTGAATTACAACATGTTGAAGGTGTTATAAAGAGAGGCAAGAATTTATTAAATCGGTAATGGTGTGTTACCAATGTTCTGCATCTGACTATGATTGACACCCAAAATCTTGAGGGCAGGTCAGTAATGATTGAGCGCAGGCCTCAAAAAGAGATGGAGGAGAGAGACAAGAAATTGAAATATTGGAAAAGGAGGTAGGAGGGAGCTACGGGTAGGCAAACATGCTCCTATATTCATGTTGTGCGAATTGAGTATGATCTTCTCTTGAGTAACTGGTTGCAATTGCCAGAGTCATCAAGAGGTTTGTATTATCATCAAGAGTTTTGTATTATATATCTCCTCTGAAGCAATTTATCATGGCTACCACCAATATGCTCATAGCTCTTACCTTATTAGGGTCACTACCTTACAATTCCTTTTCCTTCGTTTAGCTTCATTACTGCTTCTGTATCTGTTAAAATGGGAGTTGGGCTTGGTACAAAAAGATGGGAGGATTACATTTATGTAGAAATCAGAAGAATCCCTGTGCTTGTGTCGGTATACGAACATGTACAAGGGTTTCAATGATAAGGTTTGGAACATCAACTATTCAGATAACTGAAGTTCGTGCTAAAAAAAAGTTGAAAACATATGTGAAAAGACTAAATCCTGGATGGAGCCATTAGCAATAGTCGGAAAACCTCCTGTTACTATGATAATTGGTTGTTGAGTAGGCCCATAGAAGATGCATGAGGATGAAGAATCTTGCGTGTGTTTAAATTTTTTGTATGCCAAAAGTTACCAGTTGGTTGCCAGATGGTGTCAAAATGTCACAAGGAATGATATTTTTTCCCCTCTGTCATCTTTCTGTTGTCAGTTTTGTTCCGTTACAAGCTGCAGAAATGAATATGGTTGTTTATGGTAAATTTGACAGCCATGAGATTTGTGTTTGATGCTTAATTAACATTTCCAGTTCATTATTTGTAATGCTTTATTTGCCAACAGATTTTGATGAACTTGTATTCATTTTGTATACAGATATGTGAGAAGGGTTTGTATGTATGTCGGGCGAGTGAACAAGACAAAGCAAGGAAAATTGTAGACTTTGAAAGGTTTCCGTTTATCAATAATTTACCAAGTTTTCTTACTCTTTGTACATGTCTTTCATGTTTATGTCAGATTGCTCACATTGAAGCTGGATACAATAATATTAACCATTATTGAAATTTTGGAAAAGCTTATATATATATTTTTTATTTTTATTATTATAAAATAAACCATGTATTAACACAATTCAGAACAAATTCTACATTGTTTTGTTATACATAATAAATGAATCTTAATATAACCTCTATAATAATTTACTAACTCACTTTTTTCTTTTTATAGTGGGATGAATATGGTTATTTTGAATGTTTGATAAGGATTTGAAAATTATGTTCAGTATAAGTGTTTAGGGTAGTTATGAGAAACCTTTGGGAAATTCTTAATTATTTCAAAATTGGCCTCATGGGTCCTTTAGTGGCCAGATCAACCCATGAGGATTAGAATTCCACTTGAGGCTTAATCTAGCTTTGCAGTTGTTTGCATCCTTTAATGACGCCTCCAGAGACTAGATCTGGCCTTGCAGTGTTCCCAGAGGTTTAGATCTAATGATGGATAGCAACAGCAATTAAGGGGGTGAAAGGGGGAAAACAACAAACGAAAAAGATGGAGTAAACGTTAAGCTCGCAATTTCAATACCAACGAGGGGGAAATACATTAGGGTTTTCACAATTATCCCAATTATTAAAGCTTTAAACAGTCGAAAATAATATATTGATTGATGAAATACAAAGTGTATTTAGTTCATTCATTGGTGTAACTAAGAATTTATGGTAACTCCTTTACTTCATTATTTCTTCAACTCTTTCCATATTTTGCTTAATATTTTTCTTATAATTATAGTAGAACATCTTTATAATGATACTCTATATAAGAATAATCTTCATGTAATCATAAAGCTTTTGATCATGATACTCTATATAAGAATAATCTTCATGTAATCATAAAACTTTTGATCCTAACTTAGACCAACTATAAATAAGAATAAATTTCATATTGTAATAACTTATAATTTTTCAGGATTCCGTCTTAAAAAACTTACCTCTATATAGTAATAATTATATGCATATTACAAAACATATATGTTATATTACATTAAAGGTTTAAGATGAAATAAAATATTTATTTAAAGTTGTTTGAGACAATAATTTATGTTTTAGAGTTGTTATCACATATTTTATCTTGCGGATACGTAGTAAGTCACCAACATAAACACCTTCTTGTTGAAACTAAAATATTTCTAACTTTCAAACATGTTTAGAGCTTCTTAACATAAAATTTTCGGTATTTTTGTACTATCATCCTTAAGATTATCCCTTTTCTCTTCTTGTCTAATTCTAGTAATGATTTATTTTTCAGTTAAAATATACACAGACTTGTTGCTCGTTTAGATTATTGAGGAAGACATTAATATCTATTGTTGCTCGTTTAGATTATTGAGGAAGACATTAATATCTATTTGATTAGTGTAGTAAAGTTGTCATCTGATCACTCAATTTTATAATAACTTTTTTATATCTATTTCCGTACTATCCTAATGCTACTAAAACAATGAATTGAAATCATAATACTATTAAAACATGAATTATAAAATAAGAAATCAAAATAATAATTCTTGTAACTATACATTTATTAAATTATAACCTTTTTATAGTAATAAATTTAATTGGTCCCAACATTGTGATTATAGAAAGATTTTACTGTATTACATATATTATAGCTAAAGAAAAGAGTTAAGATAATAAGGATTTCAGGATATAAAAACAAAAATCGCCAGATAGAAAATAATATATAGCCAAGATCTTCAGGAATAATTATGCCATTGCACACCAATGATGGCCTATCCACAGCTCATTGTTACATGTAAAAGCACTAATAGTGACAAGATCTAGACACCTAACTTACAAATGCCATCAACATAAATCCTTAACATTAAACATTTAACAAAACCAAAAAGTAAAATATTGACTTTTTATATGCATTAAAAATATACTAAGAAATCATGTTGTATGCGCACCATGTGTTCGTGATGCCCATATACCAAACACAAGAAACCAGAAGACAAACAAGATAGCCCAGTAACGTGCAGGTCCATATTTAATTCTAGTAAGCACAATCTGCAATTTTCAAAAGTACAAATGTTATCTGTTTTTCCCTCTTGTTGAAGATATAAACGTGAAATCAAGCCAGTTGTCTACGTCTAAGATATATATTCAAATAAATGAACAATAAAGTGAATCCAAAAACAAACTTCATGATCACAGAAACAAATTTTAGTGGAAAACACATAGCTTGCGACTGAAAGATTCAAGATCACAGCCAACTTATATTCACTAGGTCATTTACAGGAAGTTAAACAATGAGACGATGACCCAGTAGCTTAACTATAAAACTTTTGTGAGCTAAAAGGCCAAACAAATCCATAATAGAAATCTTGAACCTGATGGCAGAAGTTATCTGAAATGAAAAAATTACTGAGTGCATGAAAAACTAGAGAAGCAACTGATCCTTTTCTTTTGGTGGAATGTCTCCCCTATAAAACAACCATCAGCTAAGTCAATTTTATAACACTTTTGTGCATATTACACGCATCAAGGTGATTAAATTTCTTCATAAAATCTTGAGCATTCTCCTCCACCTAAAATCATAGGTTTTCTGGTTTTGTATATTTGATACCCCTTCAAAATGAGGCTTTTGCTTCTAGATAGAAATCTGGTCCACTGCTGTGTTTTCTTCTTTCTTAGCAAATATACTTTTTAGTTTCTTTTAAAAATAAATAAATAATATATTTGAGTGAATTTTGTAAGGTTTGTTCGGCCCAGACAAGGGTTACCAACAAAGAAATACAAGTCTACACTCCAGCAGTTTAACCAGAATTTAGCCTAATGACTACATAAAGTGAGGTGAATTCCCGTTGGTGGCACTCAACACAAGAAAATTTATTCTCCAAAATAATAATAATAATAAAATAAAAAAAGAGAAAGAATAACCAAACAATGAAATTAATTCAATTTCACATTAAAAGAGCTTCTAGGGTATCTAAATTAATCTTATGTCATTACATGTGTGTCTACAATAATTTTTTTGAATCACCTATGAAAGATATTAAATAAAGGTTTAAAAATGATCAGCTGACAGCAGGATGTGTCATACACCAATCACCACCACAAAAATAATGATCCTAGACCTTAAGAAATAACAAAAATAATAACAATGTTTTAGTTGTCTGAACAAGACTTCAAAACATTACCAGCTGCCAATGTCATCAACAAAGAAAATTCACTTGGAAGGATGGCGTAGGATTATAAGTTTTATTATAGGATTTTGATTCTCTTAGTATTGTTTTATTTAACTTTGTAACGTTTCTAAACCTAAGGAATTGATATAAAAGTTAGCAGCAAAACCTTGGTCACACATTCCTTTCTTTTCTCATACCGAAAGATTCCTTGACCTTCCTTATATGTTTACTGTAATCTAAACTAGGGGCTACTTCTCAACCCTAAAACCTTGGTAGCAAGGAAGCTCATGGGATATAATATCCCAGTAAGTAACCCCAAGGAGCCAATAAAATGTTAGCAATCATATGTGTAAACCCATACAGAGTCCAATAAAACTAAACTATGCTTGGAAGATGCAAAACCAAATGAAATAGAATTTAAGCTACTTACAAAGCGAAAGAAGACCACAACAGTTAAAGCACAAATGCCTCCGAGGAGAATATGAAGACCGCTTCTAGCAGTTTTCTGCACATCAAATCTGAGTCTATCAAATAAAGCACTAAAGAAAACAAGGTTGACAGCGTCAGAAATAGAATATATATAATCACAAAATACAAAAGAATGAGTTCAAATACATACAGGGTAATTTCCACAAGAAACATTTTCCATTTTCCTATTTGATAAATATAACATACAAAAGGGCAAAAAAGACCATCCGATCCTAGAGCATAATAATTACACAAGAGCACTTGAAACAGGAGAAACAAATTAATGATAACATTAATGGCCAAATTTAGGACATCAAATGATCTTAAAAAACAGAGGAAAACAACTTAAAATTTACACTGTCTGTTTCAATAAGAAGTAACAGCCCTCATGTTTTGGTGTGTTCCTTTGTTTCCTTCCTTTTGTTTGTACTTTGGTTGTGCCGTTACTCCTTAACGCTTAAAGGCACAGAATTTTAACTTGTTTTCTGACTATTGTTAAAGCATTAGAAAGCCAACAGGGAATACTTATCTTCTAATTATCAAAAAAAAAAAAAAAAAAAAACAACTGGTTGTCGTGTCCAAGAAAAGGGTTTCTCAAAAGAGATGGACAACCATTGGTCACAACAGCTGTAAACTTCTAGTACAATAAATTAACCATAATTCATTTCACAGCACAGTATCAAGACTAAGAACTTCAAACTTCAAGAATTTAAGAGAACCACTTTATGTTTGATTCATATATTAACTGATAATCAATAATTCTTCCCATAGATGATATAAACAAATGCGACTTAAAACTACAAAAGTATATCAGGATAGTCTAGAGAGAGAGAAAAAAAAAACGAGGTCTTTGATGCATAAAATTCATAAACATATAATCAGAGGAGAGAATAATGCTAGATAAGATTAACTAGAAAACAATATCACAAGAGCTGTTATTGAGACTATATACTGAACCACTATATAAACAAATATTCTAGTTGAATCACAAGTACTAATCATACCAACTACAACATCCTATGTAATAAGAATTATGCTTATTGGTAATCATACCGAGTACAATATTATAGTACGAACACAAGCTTATAGAAAAGCTTAACAACTATTGAGAAGATTGACACAAGGCCAAGTATCACATGCCAACTCAAACCAACATGACAACAATTAATATGTTAATACAGAAATACTCTATTTATTTAGGCTTCCTATCAAGTAGGTACTGTATCCATCACTGTCATGTTGATTTTGCGTAGGTACTAGCTGCTAGAATTTATGCAAACCTTCCACTCCTGACTACGCAAGCATAGAACCTCAGCATATAAGATGAGTAAGCAACCAATGAAATTGCATTTCAACACAATACTAAGAAATTAAAAGCAAACTTCCTCATCTACAATAATCCAAATGAAGTATATAACGATTGGTAATCTAACACACCTTTCCAACACGAGGAGCAATGAGCCATGCCAGAGTGACAGTAAGTAGGCCAGTAGCAAGCAAGATCCCAGTACCTTCCACAGCCCATTTTGTTGCAGGATTTTCAGCAGTGACCACCTCTTCAGTAACAGTATTCAAAGGTTGTTCAGAAACAAACTGAGAAACTGCATTAGAGTTACTATTATGATGAATATTATGACCATGTGGACTAAACCACAATGAAATCTCACTTAGCCGTTGCCTTCTGATAGCAGCAACAGCATCAGGATCAACAACTGAACTTGTATGCACCTGAGCAGGACTGGGTTCTCCACTGGCAGTCCTTTCTCTTAATGCTTCATAATCCTTTAATGAAACCACAACCTTTTTAAAGTCAGCAATCCTGATATTTTTTGCAACATGCCCACAGATTTCACAAACAGTGGATCCATGATTAACAAACCATTTAAGGGCACACGCATAGTGTACCAAAGCAAGATCACTTTTGCAACAACAACCAAGTTCAATTAGAGCGTCTTGGCTGTTACATGTACCCATTTCTAAATCGGCATTACAAACGAAAACTTCCCCATCAGGGCTTATGAACTCAACAAAACCAGATTCTCTCCCAACATTTTTGGCACTTTCACCATCTTTTTGCACTTGTTTGACATCAGGCTGTATTTCTCCATTACTTTTAAGTGATTCTTGCAAAGGAACAGTAATACCCAAAAAGCCTAATGCAGCATCTCCTCTTTTGTCAGATTCAGCACATTGGCACACACGGCAAGTTGCCAAGCCTGCCTCCTTGTCTACACTATAACGTGAGTACCTCTCTGAATCTTGAGACTCAAGAGAGCCCACTTCATTGCTAATTCCACCAGTCTTCGTTTGCGACAGATTTTCCTTACCCATCTAATCAATTAACTGAATTTCACAGCAAGTCAATTAAATATAAAGACTTAATTGATTACATGACAGCCGAATTTCACAACAATTAACAATCGAGGCCTTGAGGTTCCTGGTTTAGCATAATAAATAATACATAAAAACATTTATTTACACAGAAATCATGTACCTCCACGGAATAAAGCAACATAGCAACAACTCTACAGTGAATATAATCATGTGCAAACAAAACCAAAAAAAAAAAAAAAAAAAAAGAAAGATTTGCCCATTGAAGCCATTCTGAAATTGAAAACATCAACTTATAGAAAGCAAAGAAAGAGATTGATAAATTAAAGAGCAAAAATGAAAAGAAATAAAAACCCTAAAAAGAGTAATGAAAAGAAAAGAACCTTTAACTAGTGGGAATTGAAGAGAGAGAAGAATGGCAGATAGAAGAAGGAATGTTGGAGGTGGATCTTTAAGAGTCCATAAATGAATGAATGGTGGATGCTCAATTCAATTCATTTCGTTTCATTTCTTCTCTGACTTGGTGGAGTGGCTTAGCCTGTACAAAAATGCTTTGCTTCTTCGACACAATTACATACTGTTACTTCTACAAGCATCTCATTTACTGTTTACATTACAAGCATGGAGCAGGCTGACTGTGTTTGGGCCGAACTGGAGTATCATGTATAGCTGTTGGCTTATTTAGTTATTATGTTTTATGAAAATTAAAATAAAAAATAAAACAAAATGTGAATTTACATTATATAATTTTTTTTAAGAATTTGAAATCAAAGTTAACTGTTTTGTTTTAGGACTATATCTGTGTCAACTTCTATTGTTGGCTATCGGTCACTTTGTGTTTTCAAGCTTAGAAGAGTTTTTTTGGTCGGTGTCGAAATTTTAGAACAGTTATTTTCTATTTAACTTTTTTAAATGGGCTATTTCTCAACTCATACCCAAAAAAAAAAAAAAAAAAAGCTATTTCTCAACTCATACCCAAAAAAAAAAAAAAAAAAATTGTTACTTAATATAATTTTTCTTGTTTAAAATAATATTTTAACAATAAAAATATAAAACTTGTTTAGTATTGTTAATGCTTTATTTTTTATATTAACGATTTCGCACATGTAAAGTGTTATGAAATTACACGTGAGATTATTATGAGAGTTGATTATGGTGCAGTGGTGATACTATATATGTTTGAAGAAACATAAAATAAAAGATTGACAAAAAAGATTTTAAGAGTGGTTTAGAAGCTTTAAGTAAATTCTACATAAACTGATATTTTATTATTCTCTGACTATTTTACTGATGTGCCTGTGAGGCGTACAAATATGGAGTGATGTTTCGTTTACAGAGAAAAATAATGGTTGAAACTCAAATGTATGCCTAGCTCTCATATATTCAGCCCTCTCTTCCATGAAAAAGGCTACCCATTTATACCTTTGAACTCAATGTAATAAGTGTTTTTGCAAGTTGTCTTGACACGTGGAGAGATTTTATTCATCCTGATCCTTTATTTTGATAAAGTTGGGACAGGTGTTATATAATATCTTTTCTAAAAGGTTTGGGTTTTGACGGCTAATATCATTTTGCCTTTGGTTGCTTGCCCAACTTTGATTGATGGGACTGGCAGCTCATTCTGATTGATAGTGCTGATGTCAGTGTAATTTTATTCATAATAGAAGCCCCTCAGTTTTTGGAGTGCGTAATCTTGCTTCAAAAACTCATATTTTTTATCTGAATGGTTGTCGCACTATAGGTTGCAGTCTCGAACTGAAGAGCTTGAATTATGTCTGGCATAATCGGTTGTTGAGATCTCAATCTGTTATAACGATCTAAGAGCTAGGACTGCACTTCAAGAGCTAGGAGCAACTTGATAGCTGAGAGCTGATTACAATTTGAGAACTGGGAGGTAATTGCGATCTAATAGCTTGAGATCTCTTTGCAATCTGAGAGCTTGAGATCTCATTGCGATTTGAGAGCTTGAGATCTCTTTGCAATCTGAGAGCTTGAGATCTCTTTGTGATCTGGTAGATTGAAAGCTCTTTGAGCTTGAGATCTCATTGCGATTTGTGAGCTCGAGATCTCTTTGTGATCTTAGAGCTTGAGAGCTCTTTGTGATCACAGAGCTCAAGAGCTCTTTGAGCTTGAGATCTCATTGTGATCTGAGAGCTTGAGATCTCTTTGTGATCTGAGAGCTGAAGAGCTCTTTGCTATCTGAAAGCACAAACAGTTTGATCAAAAAGTGTAGAGTTTGATCTGAGAGAACAAGGAGTTTGATCAGAAAGCGTAAAGCTTAATCTGAGAACACAAGAAGTTCTATCAAAAAGCGCGAAGCTTGATCTGAGAACATAAGGAGTTTGATTAGAAAGCGCGAGCTTGATCTAAGAACACAAGGAGTTTGATTAGAAAGCGCGAGCTTGATTTGAGAACACGTGGAGTTTGATCAGAAAGCGCGGAGCTTGATCTGAGAACACAACGAATTCGATCAAAAAGTGCTGAGCTTGCTCTAAGAACACAAGGAGTTCGATTAGAAAGCAAGAAGCTTGATTAGGGAACTTGAGAACTCTGAATTGCGCGATCTAGATGATTTGGGTGCTTGAAAACGTGTGATCTGAATGATCTTGAACGTGTGATCTCAATGGTCTTGAATGCGTGTTCCGAGAGCTTGAGAGCTCTTTGCAATCTGAGAGCTCAAGAGCTCTTTGTGATTTGCAATCTGAGAGCTCTTTGTGATTTGAGAGCTCTTTGCGATCTGAGAGCTTCAAAGCTCTTTGTGATCTAAGAGCTTGAGAGCTCAATCAGAAAACATTAGGAGCTTGATCTAAGAGCGTAGCTCGATTAGAAAGCATAAAGGGCTTGATCTGAGAGCATAGCTCGATTAGAAAGCATTAAGAGCTTGATCTGAGAGCATAGCTCGATTAGAAAGCATAAATAGCTTGATCTGAAAGCATAGCTGGATGAGAAAAGCATAAAGAGCTTGATCTGAGAGCATAGATGGATTAGAAAGCATAAAGAACTTGATCTGAGAGCATAGCTCGATCAAAAAGCATAAAGAGCTTGATCTGAGAGCATAGTTCGAATTAGAAAGTATAAGGAGCTTGATCTGAGAGCATAGCTCGATCAGAAAACATAAAGAGCTTGATTTGAGTGCATAGCTCGATCAGAAAGCATGAGGAGCTTGATCTGAGACAGACTTCAGTATTTTGATGATAACTTGAGTTGTAGACCTTGGATTTGGATCGAAAAGCTAACTCGAAGGGCTACAATTCTTATGCTTACTACTTTGCCAGATTCAAACTTTATCCTACTCAAATTTCCAATCTGGTAACGTGATTCTAGAAAAAAGAAGCTGAAATTTGCTGAAGAAATTGAGATTTGCTAGAAAAACATGGAGAGTTGATGTGAACCATGCCCTCATTTTAACATCAAACTGTTGATACTTGATTTTAACACCAACAACTTAACACGTGTAAAGTGCTATGAAATTACATGTGATATGATTATAAGAGTTGATTATGGTGCATTAGCGATATATGCTTGAAGAAACATATATAAAAGATTGACAGGAGAGATTTTTAGAGTGGTTTGGATACTTTAAGCAAATCATACATCCACTATTATTTTATTATTCTTTGGCTATTTTTCTGATATTGCCTATAAGACATAATATGGAGTAATGTTTTGTTTACAGAGAAAAATAATGGTTGAAGCTCAAATGTATGTCCAACTCTTATATCTCATTCAGGCCTTTCTTCCATGGAGAGAGTTGCTCATTTATACCTTTCAGCTCAATGTAATGAATGTTTTTGCAAGTTGTCTTAATTGACATGTGGAGAGATTTCATTCATCTTAATTCTTTATTTTAATAAAGTTAAGACAGGTGTTATATAATATCTTTTTGAGGTGATTTTGGTTTTGACAACTAATATCATTTTGTCTTTGATTGCTTGCCAAACTTTGATTAGTGGGATTGGCAACTCATTCTGATGGGTGGTGCTAATGTTAGTGTAATTTTATCCATAACAAATATATTATCCAAAATTGATATTTTAAATATTATCTGCATATATATAAGTTGAGAATAGGTTTGATAATAAAATGCAATTAAATTATATCTTGGAGTGATCTACCTAAATAGTTAAGACTAAAATATGGTTTAAATTGAATTAAAAAGAAATCTCGTGAGAAAAAGTAATATAAAATTCAAAATTTATGTCTCCTTAAAATATATTACAGTACGAAGCATGATTTTGTCTCAATGAGGACATGTGAAAAAAAAATTCAAATATTTTCATCCATGAAAAACTGATTTTTTTTAATTCATTAAGTTTCGTTAATAAATTTTATATACAAAATAATTTTTTATTTATTTTATGACAGCTTAAAATATATTTGATATTTCAAAAGAACAAAATAAAATAAAAATGGTCATATTGTTTGGACTTAAGCTATTTTGATTAAATAAGATAAAGGGGTGATAATGTTAAAAAAAAATATACTATGAGGGTATAACAAAATTTTTCCAATTTCATTGCCCCCACTCGCTCCTTTGTGGATCCGTCCTTGCTATAAGGTAAAAAAAACACAATTTGTATATAACAACAACTCATGTACATTTTACTAAGAAAAAAAATTCAAAAACTAGAACCAAAAACATGACTGCAATCAAATGATTATTTAGACTCTACACTAGACCTGGGTTTGCTTCCTAGTACTGTGTAGTGCTATTTAATTGGACACATTAATTATCATTTGTCTCTTGTTTAGTTGGATTTTGCAGTGATGGAGTTGGAATTGTATCAAAATTAGAAGAGCGCATTCGATGGGCAAAGTATAACCGTTAAACCATAGCCCCCTTTGGGCTTAGGCCAGACAAATAAGATAAGTGAGATCCAGAATTTAAGTTAGCTCCAATTCCACTTTTAAAAATATAAATAATTGAATATTTAATAGAATTTTATACCAAAAAATAACTATTTGGAAATAAATAAATATATTGATTAATTGATTAAAAATTTAATAATTGAATTAAGTATAATAAATTATATTATTAATTATTAGTTAAATACATAAATTATTCATTATATATTCTAAACAGGGAAATTCTTTTAGCCCCCACGCATTTCCGCTATTACGTGACTACCCACTGATTTCGAAAATAGTACCTAACCTCTTATCCCCCAAATGAATAAAACATAAAGTTTTTTATTGACATTATCCTCTTATCACCGTGTTTTTTCTGATTTGAGATGTAAAATTACCAGAAATAGAAATTTGGGTTGTGCAAAATATTTTGTTATTGAGGGAATAACAGCACTAACTATATGAGATTTTGGTGGGTAGGTTAGTCATTAGGACAATACCAAGATTGCCTTTCTTTTTGGTATTTTTCCATTAATCCATGTTTTCCTGATATATATGTTTCTAGGGAGCATTGCCCAATTCGTTCCACTTTCAGCAACTCTCTTACTTATGGGGCTTATGCTTTAGCTTCCATATGTACATTTTCGATAAGCTGAAGCTATGTAACATTAATTAAATATGCAATTAATGGAACAAAGATGACTTTTTTAGTCCTTCCGTTTGAGCACTGTTTTGTGTTGCTAAAGTATCTGTCAACTAAACGTTGTCACTTGAAAAGTTCTGGGAAGTGAGTAACGAGAAA